GTATTATATATATATATATATATATATATATATATATATATATATATATAAATGTCTATTTAAATATGAACAATGCAATAGGTAATGTTCAAACGAGCATTATAGAGAACGAACAAATACATACACACACGGATACACACAACAGAGTTAAAGGAGCCCACACGTCGTCCATTAAGCGCGTTATTACAGGATAATTGCTTCCTGCCGCGCTATTTCGTCACATAAACCGCTGATTGCGCCTTCTCCTTCTGTTAGTCCATTTTCTACATTCTACATCGACCGATCGTTCGATCAGCCACATAATTAAAATAACAATGAGGCGAATTCGCTTACTTCGCTATCAATTAAACAGTAACACTTTTTTGTGCAGACCGATAAAATAATGAGAAAAAAATGTTGTTTCTATACCAATCACAGACAACTCCTAAAGTGCCAAATTACTTATCACGACAACAAGATAGTTCCAGTAAAAGCATTCGAAATTTGAATAAGCTCTGACCAAAAATAAAACAACAAAAAATAGTCTCTGGACCAGCAATAAACTGTTTCCAAATTATTAAACCACTATGACTAAAAATAATTTTTCAATAATAATCAAATTCCTCAAGAAAATAATATCGACGGTTTTCAGAATTGATAATAGTTCGAGGCGCTTCTCTCCGAGCGACGTGCGTTTTTAGATCAACAACCGGGCGGTCGGAAGCTTTCAGAACGATAATGGAAGCCTCCTCGGGTTGGCGGGACTGCCAATGAATAAAGTATCGGGTTGAGCAGACACTCGACTTGAAGCTCTATTTATACGGGGTGACACACATACAACGCACACATTCCAGCGCGTCACGTGGGTAAAAGTGGACTCTCTCGGAGTCACTTTGCTTTGCCACCGGCTGGCTACTCACCAGGGAGTCCTCGGAGGACTTTCTTTCAGGATTAAGGAGGAAGGATGAGCCTTGAGACTGAACGGCCTTTTCATCCCGCCGGGACTTTTGTTTACCTGGTTGCTCTCATTGTTGATGCAACTATGTAATATGAAATTAGACTCGTGCAAGAATATTCTGTACAAATATACAGAGTGTCCTGCTTTTCGCGTATTATTAATCTAAGAATGATTTTTTTAAATTTAGAATTTGATTTATCTTTGCCAAGAATATCGAAATACTAATTATCTTTTTATAAGAGATATCAATTCAAGAATAAAAGATTGTCGCAAACGTCGGAAAAGCGAATGAATAATATCTTACGTTCTACAGTTAATTTCAGCTGAAGTTTATTTTACTACAATTTAAAAAAAAAGTGATACTTCATTACAAATAAATATATTCTGGTAATTAAAAAATTATTTCTTTAAAAGATCCTAATGAAATGGCTCTCATTATCGTTCTCGAAGCTTTTAGTCGTCCAATTGTTGATTTAAAAATACTACTGCTTAAAAGCTTTAAAAGCTAGAACAATATTATAGTGTTTGCTCACGCATATTTGGTAAACATTAAGATTGTGCATTAAGTGAAATGTACAAAACTCAAGATTTCCATATGTGAAGAAAGAACCGACCAATTAATTAAAAAATTCAGATTATTACGAGTTAATGTATTTGAATGAGATAACCTTAAAATGTAGGTTACATCGAATATTTCTGCTCAACCAGAAATAAAATATTTATCTTCGCTTTAAAATTAGGCAAACTTTTGCCTGTATAAGAAAAAATAGGAAAACTCACAGTCACTCGAGCACCGTGGGCCAACAGCAATCATCTGCCTCGATTAATATGTTGCGGCGAAGTTTCGATGATCCTCGATAATCTCGATAACCTCACAATGCACTCGCGATGTTTGATTACACTTACTTGATTAATGCGCGAAACAACGCGAACACATGTGTGTAAATACATTTTCTTGACGAAACGCAACCGATATCGATTATCCATTGAACACTGAAATACAAAAAATACAATGATACAAATTAATTTATATATTAAAACGGCTTCGACATTCGACATTCTTTGTTATTCACAACTGCTGATATCATTTGAATGAGATAATTAATACCTGCTGATGATTGACTGGAAATAAATTCAACACTTTTCATAGTTGTTTAGTCGAAAACTTTACTCGAGATGTATAAAATGATTGCGATTAAGATTAATTACGCACAGACGAGAAAGGTGCAACGCAAAGTGATCGTGCGACATTTAGGCTGCGGTCACGGAATGCGACTAACTTCTCAGTGTATTTTTATGGCGCGCTTTTCGCTGCGCCTTGTTTTTATATATATATTTTAGAGTGTGTATATATATATATATATAATTCCAATAATAAATAAAATTCTATTAACATAATACCTAATTCTCGTGACAGTTTCCACAATGGACCTATGCGGCTCAGCGCAGCTATACGGCAAAGTATGGCAAAGGATCCCGTGGCTCCCGTTTTATGGGAACCTCATTTAGAAGCTTTGGACCGACGAGTAGGTATCATTCTGCAGGCCGTTCGCGATTGCATTACCCAGGAGAACTCCTCGCAACAGGTTCTGCGTAGTGACAAAACAGACTCAAAGTTATAGCCTTCAATTGCGATTTAGAATAATCGCGTGTAAAAAGATGTAAAGAGATCTCTCTTTGTAAAGGTATTTTCTACGCTCTGAGAGTTTAATTATTTCTTTCTTTCCACCTTTTCACATTTAATTTGTTTAATGATTTTTATATCGGCCTATGCATAGATATTAAATTAGAGCACATAATTTAATTAAATTGAATTGATTGAAAAATAAATTACAGAAGTCATATCGCGTCGAGACTTATTTAAAATTTAGTGATAAAATTAATTATATATTTTTATCTTTTATTTATATTTTCTTTCGCTGAATTAAATTGATAGAAATTGCACCTAGCGTTTAAATTTAATTCAGCCATAAAAAAGATTTATTATATATTTTTAAATCTAGAATTATATAAAATCGATTAAATATGAATTCAGAAATTGTTACTATGTCTGTTTCTTTTTCATTTTTGCACAAAAATTTTATCAACACGTTTTTATATTATAATGTCTCAATGTTATAAAATAATTATGTTATCAAAACTATAACAAATTAATGTTAGCATTTTATGCGGAAAGTTATAATTATTATTGTATTGCAATTTAATTGATATTCAGTCTTGATCTGATTTGTACAATAATAATAATAATATTATAGTAATAATATATTTCATATAATTGAAAAAAGAATATATTATATGCAATTCAAAGAAAAATTTAAATTACTTAACAAAAAAATTGCAAAGAAAATTAAAAGTTAAAAAAATTACGATGTTTCTTATGACAGTAATTACAATTGTAATTCTTGAAATTTTTTCGCATTTTTATTGAAAATAATTTGTACTTCTTTAATTTTGTTATTATAGAAATAATTAAAATTTAATGTAGTTTAAGATAATTTGAATAATTCTGAAATATTTTCATTAATTATGAATTATTTTTGTCAAGAAAAGAAAATATTCAAACATATCATAGAAAATCTTACTAATTATTATAATCATTTTCTATGAGACAAATTTTAACGTACAAAGAGGCTGTTGTACATATTGCATATGAAACATATAAATATACCATTTAGTTATATCTTATATTGCATGTATGTATATTTATTACGACTTGGCGATAATCAAATAAATACAAGTTGTAAACGCGCGCAATAAATGTTAATGTAAATAATATAACGATTACCAATATTTGGAAATTAATCCATTAACGGCCAAAATTCCATTTTTAGAATAAAAATTTTATCACTTATTAACATACCTGTTAGAAAAAATAATACAAAATAATAAATTAATTAATAATTAAAGATCACTGATTCTTGTATTAATCATGATCTAAAAATTATGATTTAATTGTTTAAATGTTTTTTTTCTCATCAACCCAAATTTTTCGAAACTGAAAACAATTATATGGCATATTAATTAATAATTATATAATTATTTTTAATTACAAAATTTATTGCATTATAATTATGGCCTGTTAAAGGGATTGAAGTAAATTAGATCTGTAATTATATCTGTAAATAAGAATATGGATTTTTGCGAGCGTACGATTTAAGTCATGTTATGCGTGTGCGTGGCTTGCGTGTGTATAAAAGCGTGGAAGAGCTTTTATAAAGTGTGCTTTTCATACGCATGTTTTACGTTCCTTGAAATTCGCACCTGCACACAAAGAAAAATGCATCCAAATGTAAAATAAGATGGACTGCAATTTATGTGTTTTTAATTGATTATTTTATTAATATCTCCTTTCTCCTTTGTACTTACATATTTAACTACAATCTAAAAATTGTTATAAATTAATTATTTCATCAATTTTGTTTTGAAAAAATTAAAGAACTCCTACATTAATTATAAATCAATTCGGATCCTGTTCAAAAATAAGTTTAAAGTCTAAAAAATTAATATAGAAAATTAATATTTAAAAATGTTTATTAAAACACTTAAGAAGAGAGAAAAAATGTACTTAACAAAAAATATCTACGTTTATAATTCTGCAAAAAATTAAAGCATAAAAATAATAATTAATTGGTCCAGTTGTAAAATTTAATTGTCTAAAAATCTGTGAAACAAAAATCCATAGTTAAAAATGGAACAAATTTCTGCTTTTTTCAATTAAAAAGAATTTTAATGAACCAAGAATCATCGCGCTATGCGCGACTTTATTATTGAGAAGTTCAATTCATTGTCGAATACACTATAGATAAAAATCTCTCATTTTTAAATTACTCTGAGGAAAGTTGGTTGATTTCCTCGTTAGAAGATCGATCTCACACAACAGTATCCATTTGTAAAGAAAAGTTAGAAAGTTTCTTTCGTTTCTACTCAATTTTCTGCAGCATATCTGTGCGAAAACTAAAAAAAAGTGATTATGAGACTTTTATAACATCTGTTGGATTATTTTATTTTATCACACACATATATATAATCAGAATATCGATCAGTTTCATTATTAAAGGAGAAAGAAAATGCTCTTTATTGATCCTCTCCAGGAAATCCATCGTTAATGTTTCCTCGAGGGAAGTTTTCCTGCGAAGAGAAGAGAAGCAAAGTTTAAGCCCTCGCTAAAGGCGAATAAAGTTACGCGGAACCGCAAATTCCCAAGTACAACAAACGCGAAGATCCGGCGGATACATTAAGGCGCGAAAAGTCGCGCAAATATTTGATGAGCTACGAGGCAAGAGAAAACGCGTGAGAATCGAGAAATTAATTCGCCAATCGTTTTACTCACTCCTGCTACTGATTTTTTTGGAATCAAGCTAACGGAAAGGATAATTTATAAATTTAATCCTTCCAAGATATATGTATTTTAAAGCTGGAAAATCGGAATAAAGCTTTATTCTAGAGCTTTCTTCTCTTTTAAAATTACTATAAGTATTATAAATAAAATATTGGTTTTCTAAATATGTGCCGCTACTTGCTTGTTTTGCTACAATTTTTGCGGAGTGTAGGCTATATAAAAATGGGCTTTTTTAAACAAATTTGGGATAAATTGTTAATAATTATTAATATTTTATTATTGTTAACATACTTTTTTGTCAGTATTAATTTTAATGATTTTATTTTTGTCGAAAAGTCGAGGCATGTTTCAACCATCACAATTATTAATAATGTTCGAGTTGTAAATAATTAAAATTGAATTTGTTTTTGCGAATTTCACGCGCAAATACACGGCGAAATATTCCTCCTTATTAAATTTCAAGTAGATCGTTTGACTCCGTGTTATTGATTAATGTCGCATTAACGTCAGGATAATCAGGATAATATGCACGTCAAGTTCGCCTTTGATGCCACTTCAACATCGCGAATCTCGCGAATTCGTTTCGCACTTTTTTCCATGCTCGTAGATTTTCCCGATTTTCGCAGTTGCAGCTGACAGATGTGGTGGAGGTTCCCAGATCGCGAATAAATTTCGCAGTCCTATCTATCAGACAAACAAATGTCCGCCGATCGCGACGGTCGAATGTTGTAATTTTTTCCA